GGCTATATTTGGAAGGTCAGGGACACTGACAGGGACACTGATGTCAAATAGTTCCAACTTCCCTTCCTCCACTTCCCAGCTTTTATGAGGCCCCCTTTCCTGGTGTTATTCCTAAAAAGCAGGATCCCAGTGCAAATGAGATCACAGTCGAGGACACGCAGCAGATGCTTGTAACAACAGAAGCAGTCACTCTTCACCCCACTTCACAGTTTTGGGGATGTGGAATCCATCTTTTTTTTACCAAAGGACGCCCATGGTGCAGATCTGAATGCAACGGTCCTCCTTACCTTTCATGATAGCAACTTAAGGAATAGCACATAAGAATTTTCTTAATTCATACAAAGTTTATAATCATATAGAATTACTACTGTTATTATACACACACACACACACACACAGAGTCCTCTCCCAATCTTTTTTTTTTTTTTTTTTTTTTTTTTTTGAGACGGAGTCTTGCTCTGCCGCCCAGGCTGGAGTGCAGTGGCCGGATCTCAGCTCACTGCAAGCTCCGCCTCCCGGGTTCACGCCATTCTCCTGCCTCAGCCTCCCGAGTAGCTGGGACTACAGGCGTCCGCCACCTCGGGCGGCTAGTTTTTTGTATATTTTAGTAGAGACGGGGTTTCACCATGTTAGCCAGGATGGTCTCGATCTCCTGACCTCGTGATCCACCCGTCTCGGCCTCCCAAAGTGCTGGGATTACAGGCTTGAGCCACCGCGCCCGGCCCCTCTCCCAATCTTAAGACAAAAGGGTTTCTTAGAAACTTGTGTGGATCTAATGCAATGCAAGTAATATTTGTGGCATTTGTATGCTGAACTGGAGGGATATCCTCCAGGCATTTGCCCTTTAAGAACAAGGATGGAGTGACCAGAAGAGAGAGGAAGAGGCAATTAGGCCCTTTGCAGAAAACCAGCACTAATGCTTCTGGCTGGGAGATCCTTAAGCTTAGTACCACTTTTCTTTTATGCTAATGTTTACAGACGGCTTCTCAATTATGAGAACCCAGTGTGCTCAACACTCAATCCCACCCAACTTCAACTATGCTGAAGAGGCACTATGACTCGGGACACTCCAGTTCTGAGTATGCGGAGTGATATTCACTGTGAAGGTGGTTGTTGGAAACCATTTACACGGCAACCCAATGTGTTCCTATTTCCTCACTTTCTCCACTTCCCATTCTCTTCTCTTTTCTCTTTCTCTGTTTCACATACCTTTCAAAGGCCTTCCCATGCTGCTACATGCACACAGGAATACTGTTCTTATCTGCAGTAGGCTGAATAATGACCCTTAAAGATATCAAGTCCTGATCTCTGAAACCTCCAATGTTACCTTATATGATAAAAGGGTCTTGCAGATGCTAATTAAATTAAAATATCTTTAGATGGGGAGATCATCCTGGATTCTCCAGGTAGGCCCTAAATGCCTTCCCAAGTGTCCCTTTATGAAAGAGGCAGAGAAGGTCAGGTGTGGTAGTGCACACCTGTAGACCTAGCTACAAGGGAGGCTGAGGCTGGAGGATCACTTAAGCACAGAAATTCAAGGTTACATGAGCTAAGAGTGCACCACTATACTCCAGCCTAGGCAACAGACCAAGACTAGGTGTCTAAAACAAAAACAAAAACAAAACAAAAGAAAGAAACAGGTAGAGGGAGATTTGACAAACAGAAAAGAGGCCACGTGAACACAAAGGCAGAGATCAGAGTGATGCAGCCACAAGCCCAGGAATGCTGGCAGCCACCAGAGACGGAAAGCAAGGCACTTTCTCTATATCCTCCAGAGGAAATGTGGCCTTGCTCACACCTGGATTTCCATCCCATAAGACAAATTTCGGACTTCTGACCTCCAGAACTGTAAAATAATAAGTTTTTATTGTTTTAACCCACCAAGTTTATAGAAAGTTATTACAGCAGCCACAGGAAACTAATGAATTTTTTAAAGAGATACCACCCAACCCATAGATTGGGCAAATTTGGACAGCCAGGTATCCATTCCAATGAAGTGATGGTTAAGAGAATCGCAGCTGATTAAAACTTCCCACTTCCAAATATGCAGAAGCAGATACATTAAACCCCATATAGACTTCCCTCCCCCAAATTACGAAAGGGCTGTTTGTGTTTGTTATAAGAAATGCAAACCAACTGAGTCATACCATTAACCCTGGAGAATCAGCTACCACTGTCACAGTTTCAGAGAGAAAACTCTAGCTATCGGGAACAGATGGCCCAGGACACAGCCCTAGCAACAGACCCAAAGCTCCAGGCATACACAAGTTAACAGACATGGACTCTGTGCCAAGGGGTGTACAAACTAGTGGAGAAACCAGCCTTTGAGCAGATGGGAATAGGTGAAATAGATGGTACAGTGGAGTCACTGAAGCACAGAGGGAGGCAGCCTCGGTCTGACACTTGAAATTGGATTTGCCTGCAAATCGAATAGGAAAAGGCCATCCTAGGAAGTGCCTGTGCCAGGCTACATGGCTAGAGTGGTTGGCAAAGGCAAGGCAAGCAGAAAACAAAGCCACCTTGGCAGCACTGAACAGGCCATGCCCAGCACTGAGGCCGTAGGCATCTGCAAGCCACATGGGAGGATGGGTGGGTATACAGCACCAGAGCAAGTTAACCCGATCAGCATTTGGAAAGATGAGTTTGACTGAAAATGGACTAGACTGGGAAGAGATGGAAGCAAAACTGAGGCAGGAACTTGGTTGCAATGGCTACAGATTGGACAGAGATGCTCCAGGCCAGAAACAGCTGAAGTAAGGCTGGTAAGGACAGGTTTAAGTGGCATTTAAGAGGCAGATTGATAGGACTTAGTGACAGTTGAATGCAGATATTGAGAAATAACCATCAAGTTTCTGGCTTGGGTAGCAAGGCAGACAGCAGCATCTTTAACTAAGTAGGACACGGTCAAGGATGGAAAAAATGATTCAAAGGCAGATAGAATGTCAATAGGAAGTCCAACTGTGAGCTTGCTGTGTGCACAGCTGTGGGTTGTCTGCAGGGTGTCTAATGAGGTGGCTGCATAAACAATGTGCATTTTGTATAAAAGAACATATGTGTCTATGGTGTGAGAGATCCTGTTTGGGGTGCTTCAGTGTATGGATAACACCAATAAAAATGTGTGGAGCTCCTCCTATAGTCCAGGCAAAAGGAAAGAAGTAGAGGGAGATTTGACAGACAGAAGGTGGCCATGTGAACACAGAGGAAGAGATTGGAGTGATACAGCCACAAGCTCAGAAATGCTGGCAACCACCAGAAGCTGAAAGCGGCAAGGAATTTAGACCGAAAGCCAGGCATTGGGCAGGCATAGGCAAACAAGAAACCTGTTGGGGGGATGAGAGGGTCCTGGCTGGCAAATCCAGTATCACCTACACGAGTGGTGTCAACAAAACCTACACCAGGTGCTATGGGAGCACAGAGGAGGGAGCACCAACCCTAGATGCAGCTGAGAAGGTGCCAGTCGGGTGGGGTGGGGAGGTGGTGGAATCCGGGAGGAAGAAGCACCAATCAAGATAAAATTATCCCGTTAAAATAGGGTATTAGTGGTAGGGGCGATAGCTCAGGCAGAGGGGACAACACACTTGAAGCCCAGAAACCCAGAGGCAAGAGACAGAGCAAGACTAGAGGCATGCGTGTCAGAGCGGAGGTGGGGCAGAGATGGTGGAGGCTGGGCCAAGTCCTCAGGCACTTGGGCATTGTGGTTTGAACTCTCACCTAGGCAATGGAGAGTCACTAAACCCTAAGCAAGGGAGTGGCATGATTCCTTTTGCTGTTTAGAAAAATCGTTTTGGCTGCAATGTGAGGGTGGATTATAGGGGGAAACCTGGAGGCTGGGAGAACAGTTAGGAAGCCATTCAGGCGGGGAAGAAGTGGTTACATTCCCAGAGAAACATTCAGGAGGTCGGACAGACAGGACTTGGGGATAGACCCAATACTGGAAATGAGGGAGGAGCCCACTATGGTGCCCACATTCCTGGCTCCAGCAACTGGGCATATGTTCCAGGCATGGATGAGACTGCATAGGGTGTGTGTGCCAAGAAACCCAGTGCAAGCATGGGCAGGGGCAGAAGGGCCAACACAGCGGGCCCAGGAGGAGCAGTCAGCCAAGAGGTGGGAAATCCAGGGAATGAGGCGTAACTGAAGCAATCAGTGCTGAAGCAATTGGAAGCGTGTCACAAATCAAAGAGAGCAACTGAAAGATGCAACGGTTTCTGCCAGATTTGGCAGTTGGGTCAATTCCAGTGAAATGGTGAGGCCGAAAGCCTGATCATACAGCTCAAAGCAGAGACACCAATGCGTATCGTCCTGAGGAAGGCTGAAAAAACAAAAAACAAAACAAAACAAAAAAACAGCTAAGCAAGTGGCCACAAAGGGATCGCTCAAGGGAGGCTGCTTCCAGCATGTGGTAAAGCGAGTACTAGTTTTCTCACCTATGAAACTAGGATAGCAGCACACACTCCCCCAGCCTAATCACAGGGGATCCTAAAACTCAAGGTTCTTTGAAAACTTATAATCACTGTTGCCTTCTACTTTCAGAACAGAGCCACTCTGTGCTTTTCCATCATACAGTTCAAAATATAGACACTCTTTAGGCTGGGCACGGTGGCTCACACCTGTAATCCCTGCACATTGGGAGGCTGAGGCAGGTAGATTGCTTGAGACCAGGAGTTTGAAACCAGCCTGAGCAACATGGTGAAACCCCATCTCTATCAAAAATACAAAAATTAGCTAGGTGTGGTGGATGCATCCATAGTCCCAGCTACTGCGGAGGCTGAGACGGGAGGATGGCTTGAGCCAGGGAGTGGAGGCTGCAGTGAGCTGAGATCATGCCACTGCACTCCAGCCTAGGGGTGACAGAGACTCCGTCTCAAAAAAAAAAAAAAAAAATTTTTTTTTAAGTTTTTTAAGGTTGTAGGAGAAAATTTTTAGGTGCAAGATCCTTTATGGAAGACTAACAGTCCTCTTAAAATTAGTCAAACTAATAACAATCGACAACAGAGCTGTTAATTTGGGAACAAGTTTTTAATTTGTATCAATCTAATGCTCTTTCACATACTTCCAAACATTACATAAATTATTTTACCTAGTGCATACAGCTTTCAAAAACTGTATTTGGGAAGTAACACTCTTGACAATTATTAACAGGGGTTTTATATCCCGGAGTTTGAGTGTCTACGGGAGAACCCGTCCCTGCAGGAGGCACTCCTCCTCCACCTGCGACCTGGGCTGGGAGAATACACGAAGGGCTCTGTTGAGCGCTCTCCGCCAGCGAGGCTTTCCTCCCGGTCGGTGTTGACAGTGTGGCATTTCTGTTATCTAATTTCTGGTTTTGACTGAAAGCGAAGTGAGTTTTCTCATCAGTGGACTTGTAACATTTCTGCAAAAAAACTGACCACAGCCCTCCCAGACACCGATGAGCGGGGCACTATGGAAAGTCTCGGGCTGCCTGCCGGCCGCTGTGGACGCCCCGACGGGGGTCAGGGCCGGCCAACAGGAGTCACCCTCGGACCGACCCCCATCTGAGAGGCGAAGGAGCCCGGACGCCCCGGCAGCGGCCGCCGGGTCCCCGCCCAGGGGCCAGGTGGCCAGGTCGCGTCGGGAGAAGAAAATGGAAGCGCTCTGAGCGACTATCGGCCGGCGCCGCCCCCCGCGGCCTTCCCTCGCGGGCAGGGACCGTCTGCCGCCGACCCGAGGACCGCAGGGCCACGCTCGCCGCCCGCGCCCGTCAGGAAGCCGCGCGTCGCTCCCATCGCTGTCAAGGTAGTCGGCTCGGGGCGTCGCCCACCGTCCACCGGTGCATGGGAGCGCGTCCTCCCCTCCGAGGAACTAAGCGGCCGCGCCACGCATCCCGCCGCGCCGGAAGCGGGGACTAGGGGCGGCCCAGCCGGGCAGGACCGCGGCGGAATGACCTGGGGCGACCCCGCGGCAAGGGCGCCTCCGGCAGGCGGCAAAATTCCCTGAGAATCGGCGCGCTACTCGCCGCGACGGACTCCACCTGGCCGGGGCGCTCGGTCTCCTCGCCGTGGCCACCAGCCGAGCCGCCTCCCCTCAGGGCCGCCGCAGGCTCCCCTCAGGGACCGAGGGCGCGGGCTTGCAGCGCGGAGGCGTCCGTTCGGCGAGCGGCTGCCGACAGGCCCGCCCTCCCCGGCCCCCAGCGCCGCGAGCCCCTCCCGCCCCGCCCTCCGGCGCCCGGCGCCCAATCAGAGTGCCGCGCACGTGACGAGCGCTGCCTGCGATGACCTCATCCCTGGTGTGGGATGACGTCAAATTCAAGATGGATGGAATCACAGCGGCAGCGGCGGCTGCGGCGCGCGCGAGCCGAGTGTGAGCGGAAAGGGGCCCGGCGTCTGCCTCGGGGCTGAAGACCGGTGAGTAACTGTCACGCCCCTCGCTCTAGGAGAACTGCGGGGCCCCCTGGGAGGCTACAGCCTCCCCGCAAAACGCGGCCTTTCCTGACGTAACTCTGAGGTGATTTCTCTCCTCTTTTTTCTCCACCAGCGGGTTGCGGGCTCCGAGCGCTTCTGCGCGTGCGCGGGGCCTGGGCGCTCACCGAGCATGCCCCGGGTTCCCACGTAGCCGATTGTACCCTCACACTGCGCATACTCCCTGCCCGCACTTGGCCTCGCCCTCGCGAATGCGCATGCTCCATTCCCTCGCGGGCTTCACTCGTCACCGTGGCCGAGCTGCCCCGGGGTAGGGGACTCGCTTGGCCCAGGCGCGCGCCCCTCGCGCGGAGCGGTTGAAATGCCTCGTGGAGAAGGGCGCGTTCTCCCGTTCTGGGCAGGGGTTGGGGGCCGGCGGTCCGGGCCGCGAGGTGCGTGCGGAAGCTGGCCGGTGGCCTTGGGGACCCCGCACCTGCCGCGACCCGCCGCTCCCTTCACGGTCCGGGACCCAGCCCCGCCGCCCCGTCCTCGGCGTAGTGGCCGGAGCGTGACCGCTCGGTGCCCGCCGGACGCTCGCTCCCCGCCCCCGGCCCGCCTCCCCGCCCGGCCCCTCCCGCGGACGCTTGGACCTCGCTGCGCGTTCCTTCCCCTTCAGACCCCCTGCAGACCTTGTCTGGGACTTCTCGGCGGTCCCGCAGAGCACAGCACCCTCCGCTGGCCAGGAGCTCTGCTGCTCGGCCGGCGACCGTCTCCCCGCTGGAGGAGCCCCTTCCCCCGGCCGAGGTCTGCGGCTGTAGGGGCAGGGAGTCAAGACGCAGCCCGTGCCGGCCTTAGAGACCCTGCGGCAGCGCCGCCACATCTCTTCCCGGCTTTTCGGGAACACGCCCAGTAGTCCATCCTCAGAGGCTCCTGCCTTTCCATCCTAGCACACCCCTGGGGGCTCGCACTCTGCCCCCGGTTGCTATGCGCTTCCAGCCACGAGGGCTCTGCGGTTCAGGAGAATTCCGCCAGAGAGCGCGTTCGGAGGCGGGGTGTGTTTAGACAGGTATCCCGGTGGGATTGCCTGAGCAAGAGGAGGGAGAAAGTTAGACTTCACACGGCCTGGGGTTTTTCCTTTCGTGCAAGCACTCGCAGCCCTGGCACCGAGCCTCCGAGGGCACGCGTGTATTACAGCATAGTCCAGCGATTGTTCACATGATGACCCTGAGCGCTCAATTAAGCAGCTTACATTATGGTCCTCATACCTTGTTTAAGAAGACAAGAAAGTGGGTTAATCCATTTTAGAAAGATTTCTCTTGGAAAATTATCTTTTAAAGCTTTCCTCATGTACTTGAAGGTGTAAATCATGATCTCTAAGGACTAGTAGTCATTAAGTTTAAGCACCCCTAAATATCGATGTTGAAAAGAAAGTCGAAATTTGAAGTGCTGGTTTACTTAAAAGTAACTTTTTGTTTATTTTTCCTTTTTAACACTATTGAAAGTATAATGTGCTTCATTCTGTTGAAACAGAAATTGAAGAAGATATAACCCCTGCCCTCTAGTAACTTACACTATTTAGGAGGGAATATTAGATGTGTACACTGGTAAGGAAAAATTGTAAATAACAAAATTGGGGTAATTAAGAAGGTCTCGATGGAAATGAGATAATTAAAGGGACAATTTTTTCTTTTCCTTTTTTTTTTTTTTTTATTTTGACGGAGTTTCACTCTTGTTGCCCCAGGCTGGAGTACAATGGCATGATCTCGGCCCGCTGCTACCTCCGCCTTCTGGGTTCAAGCGATTCTTCTGCCTCAGTCTCCCGAGTAGCTGGGATTACAGGCGCCCACCACCACACCCAGCTAATTTTTTTTTTTTTCCTAGTAGAGAAGGGGTTTCACCCTGTTGGCCAGGATGGTCTTGAGATCTCCTGACTTCGTGATCCACACCCCAGTTGGCCTCCCAAAGTGCTAAGATTACAGGCATGAGCCACTGCGCCCAGCAGAAGGGACAATTTTAGTTGTCCCTAAAGCCAATGGAAGTAGAGAGAGCAGATCGTAAGCTATTTAAGAGCTACGTTTGACCAGGTCGCAGTAATAGGCTATAAGGGAAAGAGAAGAGATTTCTGGTTTTGGAAACTTAGGGGCTGGCAACACACCAAAGTAAATCGGGAATATGTAAGGACAAGCAGATGTGGGAGCAGGGACGAGAGGTGTGGAGTTTAAGTACCATGCTGGACCTGAGGATATACTGTGATGGAACTGTTCAGTAGGTACCTGAGAGGGTGGAGCCTCAAGAGTCTAAGCAGAGATACAGATTTGGGAGTCACCGTCCAGTAGTGATTAAAGTCACAAGGTCTGATAGAAAAAGCAAAGAATACTGCCCCGTGTTGGGGCTCAGTAACGGATGCTGGAGAAATAAAGGTGAGCTAGTCCAGGTCTTGAGCCTCAAGTTTGATGATTTCTCTCTTTGCCCAATACCTAGCTTGCTAGGCCTTGTGCTGGGCATCAGGGATACAGGCATGCAAGCAAGGGTTCTTTCTTTAGGGAGCGCCTTGAGGGAGACACATGTAAAAGCTGATCAATTGAAGAAGTTGTGGTGGTATTACAGAGAGATGAAGTATTGTGGTTTAGATGACTGAGCTGGTGGCTAGGGGCAACTACAAAAGCTTTGTAGAGTCGGTGACATTTCACCTGGATCTTTCGATAGAAGTTAACCAAGTAAAGGAGAGGGAAGAGAGATCTTGGGTGGCAGAAGCTGGATATGCAAGTTTGTAGAGTAGATGGTAAGGAGTGTCCAATAAGGGTGGAGAGATGAATTGTAACCAAAGTATGAAAAGTCTTGTATGCCAGTCTATAGTTTGGATTTTCTTTAGAAATAGAAAAATCAGTACAGTACTCCAAAGCAGGGCAGTGATGTAATGTGCTTTACTTCAGCAAAACAACTAACAGCCATAATTTTCACTCCTGCATTTAATTGGAGTGAAGAATATAGAAAAATCAAATCTTTATTGTTGTGGAAGATAACGTGTTGAGCATTGATAAGAATGCCAAAAGATATTAAATAGATTATCAGTCTTTAAATAGCTTTCAGTCCTCTTGGGGAGACACAAATGACTAACAATAAAGGCAGTGAATAAACATGTAAATGGTGCTGAAGTTGAAAGGAGGTATTTGCCCATTATAAACTGAAGTAGTCAAGGAAGGTATGTTAGTTTGCCTGGGCTGCTATAACAAAGTACTGCAGACAGGATGACTTACCAGATTTCTTTTCTCACAGTTCTGGAAGTTAGAAGTCCAAGATCAAGGTGTCAGCAGGGTTGGCTGCTTCTGAGGCTTCTCTTTGGCTTATAGGTTACATCTTCTTGTCCCTACTTCGTCCTTCCTCTGTTCATGTCTTTGTGCTAATCTTCCTTATCTGTAAGAACACCAGTTACATCAGTTTAGGGGTCACCCTAAAGCCCTCATTTTAACTTAATTACGTCTTAGAGACCATGTCTCCAAGTACAGTTACATTCTCCAGGTGCTGGAGGGTAAGTCTTTATCATATAAATTTGGGGGGGAAGAGTGGGGACACAATTCAACCCATATTGGAGGATTTTATGGAGGAGCTGGGACTTGACCTGAGCTTTGAAAGGTGATTCATGTTCTGAGTAGTGTGCTGAGGGGGGGTTTAGGTGAGTTCTAGGACTTTCCAGATTGGGGAATGGAAGAAGTCAGATGTGCAGGTTAGGTCTCAGAGACAGAGTATCTGGAGCAGGAAGGTATCACTAGGGAATAACTAAGGGAAAGAAAAAAAAATTTTTTTTTTTTTTGAGATGGAATTTCACTCAGGCTCAGCCGTCACCCAGTGGTGACTGGAGTGCAGTGGCACGATCCTGGCTCACTGCATCCTTCACCTCCCAGGTTCAAGCGATTCTCCTGCCTCAGCCTCTCTAGTAGCTGGGATTACAGGCACCCGTCACCACACCCAGCTAATTTTCATATTTTTGGTAGAGACGGGGTTTTACCATGTTGGCCAGGCTGGTCTCAAACTCTTGATCTCAGGTGATCCACCCACCTTGGCTTCCCAAAGTGCTAGGATTACAGGCATGAGTCACTGCGCCCGGCTCAGAAAATTTTAGAAGTCATTTGAAACCACATTTTATAGAGCCCTGTAGTCATTGTTTTAAATATTTTAGCCTAATGGAGAACAATTGTTTTTATTATTTTATTTTTAAACAGGATCAAAGCTGGTTCTCTTCATTCAGATCTTAGATCTCAGCTGAAATATTCCATCAAGGTATTTTCTGACCATCCTCTCGAGGCACTGCATCCAGCGATAGCACCTTGTTTATTTCTACCATAACACTTAGCAGAATCTGAGGTTATCTTTTTTATTTGTTTCCTTATTTAGCATCTGATTTGTCTCACTAGAAAGTGGGGGTCTTGTCTGTTTGGTGCACCCCTATATTTCAGATAAATCTAACCATGCCTTGTACAGAATTGGAATTCAGTAAATAAATTGAATTAATAATAGGAGTATTTAATGTGTATGTTGGGTGAACGATCAAAGCTTTGTTCTAAGAAGCTCAGGCTAGCAGCTGTATTAGGATGGGTTTGGAAGGCATGACAGGAACAGTGAATACCACGTGAAAATGTATTAGGGTTCTTTAATAACAAGAACAGAAAATGGCTGGCTTGAATGGAAAAAGTAGTTTATTGTAAAGATACAGGACTTAAGAGCTAAAAAACTGGGCCAGGAAGAAGGACAAAAACCAAGCTAACTCCAGGAATCTATGTAGCAGGCACTAGCAAGGTTGCATTTTCAGGCCTCCGCTGAGATAAATCAGCTTCATTTATTTATTGCCTTTGTCATTCTTCTCAGGATTCATATTCCAAGGACAAAGTTTCTGATTGATTTGGCTTTGGTTGTATGGTTAGCCCAGAGCTAGGGGAGAGGAGCACATCAGGCTGTGTAGCACATCAGGCTGTAGCACACAGTGGGACAAGAGCAGTTCTTCTATAGCAAAATCATGGGGCTGTTAACGGGATGGAATGGCTGTGTAGTGGCTGGAAGAAAACAGCCAAGGCTGTGACCAGAGTCTGCTAAGGTGCAAAGGAGCTTGAACTATGTTAGAGTAGGATCATTCTGCTGAATGTGGCAGAGAACAAACCATCAAACCAAAATCAAACCCCCTTGGTAGAGACTGAAAGTGTGGTGAAATGGAATACAAGATAATAACATAACTCTTCTTGAAGGATTGGATAAGCTAGTCTAGGTTTGAAATCTGAGGATATTTGCATTGTCACCAAGTGAGTGATGATAAGACTGAAACTCAGAGGCAGCTTCCTATCACCATCGAATAGTAAAATCCATTGGTAGGTGTTATGGCTAAATCCTGAGGTTAGGGTTTGGGGATAAGCAGTCTGTGTGTGTGTTTATATTCCAGAGTCAAATGTAGATGCTTTGTTTTTTTAACTAGGTGTTTGCCCTGTGTTACGTGCATTCCCTCTCTTTTCTAGTATCATGGTTAGGACTATAGAAGCAATCCCCAATATCCAAAGGACCCATGTTCCCAGAGTTGAATTCTAGGTTGATGCTGGATGTAAAGAGACATTTTCCCTGTAGAACTGGTAGTAGCAGTTTTGTGGCTAGTCTGGGAGCCAACTTAATTTATAATGTACCTTTAGCTACGACACTAGTCCAAGTAGTAGGTGAGACTATTTTGATCCCTTTCCATCTCTCTCTCTCAACCCCTCACTCACCCCCTGCTACCCTTCTGAGTGCCAGCTCATGCTTTGCTGTCTTCTGCTTCTATCACTAGAATGCTCTATATTCAAAATTGCCTACCTTCCCCCTCCCTCAAAAATCTTTTCCATACAACTGATTTAACACTCTATAGAGGAAAGTATTTGCATTGAATTAATTTATGTTAAGATATGAGGCTGGGCGTGGTGGCTCACACCTGTAATCCCAGCACTGTGGGAGACCGAGATGGGCGGATCACCTGGGGTCAGGAGTTTGAGACCAGCCTGACCAACATAGTGAAACCCTGTCTCTACTAAAAATACAAAAATTAGCCAGGCCTGGTGGCTGGGGTCCCAGCTACTCAGGAGGCTGAGACAGGAGAATTGCTTGAACCCAGGAGGCAGAGGTTGCAGTGAGCCAAGATCGTGCCACTGCACTCCAGCCTGGGTAACAGAGTGAGACTCCATCTCAAAAAAAAAAAAAAAAAGAAGATGTGAGATATGAGTCCCCCACCCCCTTAGCATTTATTACCTGAGGAATTTGAAGTGATGGTATGAAATAATCTTCTGGAATCCAGTTCTGAAGGGTTTTGTAGCCATTCCAGGGAATTGGAAGTTGAGGCCAAGGCAAGCCCTTGCAAGGTTTTAAGCGCCAGCAAGGCCGATGAGCATTTCTGAAAAGTGTCTATGGTAGAAATGTAAAGAATGGAACCTTTAGTATTATAGGTTGACTATTCCTTTCTGAAATGCTTGGGACCAGAGGTGTTTCAGATTTCAGATTGATTGGGATTTTGAAGTATTCGCATTATACCCGGTGATTCAGTATCCCTAATCCAAAAATCCAAAATGCTCTAATGAGCCTTTCCTTTGTGCATCATGTCATTGCTCAGAAAGTAGTTTTGGGTTTTTGGACTAGAGATATTCAGCTTGTATTATAATTGTCAAAGGAGTGATGAGTCCCAAGCCTTCCTTAGGACTATTCACTCATAGTTAATAGTGAGTAGTTCCCACTATTCACTCATCCACCATCCTACCCCCTGGCCAAAGTAATTGCTTCCTGGAATCGGTATCCCCATAGCATTCTTCACATCCTTCATTAATTGTTGTCTGTCCTACCATGGAAATGTGAACTACAGGAGAACAAGAAGCAGGCCAGTTACTCATCTTCCCATCACCAGCACCTGTTGTGATACATGGTGGGTAGCAGGCCCACACAAGCATCTGTGAGGGGAAGAGGAGAAGGAAGGAAGATGTGCATGTGCCACATGGGAAGTGCTGAACGTACTGGGGCTTTCGAACATGTTGCCTCTTCTATCTTTCATAAAAATCCTATGTGGTGGGTAGTGTTAGCCATGTTTAACAGGTAAGGAAACTAGTCAGAAAGATTGAGTCATCTTTAGAAGGTTACATGCCTACTAGGTGGCAGAGCCAGGATTTGAGACAAATAGACTGATTTGAAAGGCTTTTCCATGGAACTGTAAGGTCCTCCGTGAATTGTTAACCATAAAGATTCTCTCATTTTGAAATTTCAGAAGACATGAAGTAGAAACAATCCAGGCAGGCTTTGGGAACCTATTTGTGTGCGAGGATCAAATTGGTAAGCAAGCTGGCCCTGTTTCAGAAACTGGTTTTCCTGGGGGGTTTTCCTTTTAGCTTTTTCTGTTGCTCATAAATAGACCTTTTCTTCCAAATTTCACCCACTTGTCTTTTAAGAGCTCCAAGGTTTTTCCGCCATGACTGAAGTGGCAGAACTTCTGCCGTGATGAGTCAGGTGGAGATGAGCCGTGGAAAGGAGGGGCGTAGATGATGGTGGCAGCAGTGCATGTTTATATGTAAGATGCACTGCTTCTGTAAGTCGGAGGCCCTGATTACTCATAATGAAAACCTGCATGGAAATTTGGAGTGATGTGCCAGCAAACTTACCGGTCTAGATCTGAAAAATACACTGAGGAGAAAGTACACCCAGCAACAAAGTTCGCCTTATCTGACAGCACAAGAGCAGAGAAATCAAAAGTTTTTGAGGATTCGGTATACACAGCCACCAGCCACAAACAGTCTTGCTGGATTATCTCGTGATTGTCAGCAGTTGTGATTTTCCCCCTTTTACTTACATTCTTGATGGAGCATTTTGTATTTTTAGGTAATTGTTAAACTCAAATATACTGTCATTAAAACACAAAAATTCAGTATGTTGTCTGTTTGCAGCCAGAGTAGGAAAGGGTACATTGTTTTCAAAGCTTAATTGAATTAAAATGTAAAAAAAGCAAGGGCCTTAATATAAAGGTGAGGGATCTGCATCTCGTTCTAGACATCTAGAGTCTCCAGATCCTGGGGTACTGGGGAGAATGGACAATGTTGCTTTCCTGTGCAAGATCCTCAGATAACATATTTTAGCCCCCAAGGCACTAATGCCTCCCTCTTCCTCCAGCCTCATGGGCGTTTCCTCCCCCATGTGTACCTTTACCTTTCACCAGACAAAGCCACCTGTGGTTCCCTTGGATTCCTCCTGCTCTGTCTTGTCTCTGTGGTGGTGCGTGTACTGCAGCCCAGCCAGCTGATATGAATCCTGCCCTGCTACTTATTATCTGTCTGACATTGAGCATGTTACTTAACCTTCTGTGCCTCAGTTTTCTCATCTGTAGAATGGAGATAATAATAGTACCTAATTCCTAGGGTTGATGTCAATATTGGGTTGATACATAAAAAGTGTTTACTTTTGTGTATGTGGCAGAATAAGCACCCAAATTATAGCTGTTATTAAGTACCTAATTACTGTTCTTCTGAATGGAATGAAAAATAAATACTTATCCCTTGAAATGCCCTTCATCCTTCCTGCCTATCTCTTCCCGGCATTCCCTATAAAACTTTCTTCGTATAACGCCCTTCCTGGTCTCCATCTCACCTGGCTCTGATGCCTGTCATCCATACTGCATCTCTACCTCTACAAACATCCTATCTGCTGCTTAGCATACTGGACTAGGCTGATGAATTGACCTGTCCTCTTCCTGCGCAAGACCTTAAGCTCCATAAGGCAGGGCTGTACTTGTTAAATTGGTATCTTCCATGTCTAGAAGGGTTCTAGCACACCCTAGACAGATGCTTGCCATAAGTCTATAACTGTCTGGATAACCTTAGGCAAATGACTTGACCTCTCAATGCCTCAGTTTTCTCATTTGTAAAAAGGATTGATGACACTCTAGTTCAGAGGATGATACGAGAATTGGAAGAGGAAACTAGAGGCAGTGTCATGTAGGGGTTAAGAGCTTAGCCTCTGGAGCCAAGCCAGCTGATGCGAATCCTGCTCTGCTACTTATTATCTCTATGACGTTGAGCATGTTACTTGACCTTCTGTGCCTTAGTTTTTCTCATTGTAAAATGGGGATAATAGTACCTACCTCCTGTGGTTGATGTAAATATGGAGTTAGTACATAAAAAGTGTTTACTTTTGTGTATGTGACAGAATAAACACCAAATTTTAGTTGTTATTAAGTACCTAGTTACTGTTCTACTGAATGGAATGGAAAGTAAATACTCTGTAAAGTTGTCCTGCAGTTGTGTATCAGGAATTTGGACATCCCAAGGCACTTTTCAGGCTGGTGTGATGGCTCTAAATGGAGGTTATAGGAAAGTTAAGTTTTAAGTCCCCAATAATTTTCAGGGACAGTGAGTATTTCTCTTACAACTTAACTCTGAGTGACTTTATTATTGTCCCCTAGTTCATAGATGTTTTCATTCAAAGAAGATAGAAGTCTGTGATCCAAGAAATTTGAAGCAGTGACTTAGAGCAGAAATAGGGATCATGATACTTTGAATAATGCATAAAGAAGGAAACCTTTCTAAACAAAGAACAGGGACACAAATACTGCTTTTTTGGCAACAGGATGCATATGGTCTGTGGAATATCATTTGCTTCAGGTCCAGGGATGTAGAAAACTCCCCTTGGTTTAGTCTTCACACTAAAGAGCCAGGACAAGCCCTTGGAAGGGAGGTTTGAAGTGGTTAGCCTTTACCTGTGCTTCAAGTTCTGTTTGTGTCTTAGTTTGGATTCCCCCAAAAGTAGACCCTAAGATAAAGATTCAGATTTAGATGTTTATTTGGGAAGTGATCCCAGGAAGCACAAGAAAGGAAGTAGGGACAGTAAGGCAGAGATGGAGGCTCATAAAGGGTACACTGATGAACAGGTTTGCTGCTCACATGTAGGATATCAAAACTGAATTCTTAAAAAAAATCAGAACTCCTGTTTTTTCTGTCAAACCTCGTCTCTCCTAAGGATGCCCTTCCAGTTATTTTGGCAGAATGCTTAACTCCACACCTTCTGTTTTCTCCTGCAGTCTGTCCACTAGAAATCCTAATGACTCTGCCTTTACCTCCATTACTACCACCCTAGTCCCAGCCACTATCCTCTCTCATCTGAGTCATTACAGTGGACTGCAAGCCGGCCCGCAGCTTCCATCCTAACCTACCCTCTGTTGTCTACTCTCAACAACAGAGCCAGAGCAATCCTTTGGAAGCATAATTCAGGTCTTTGTCATTCCTCTGCTCAGAATCTTCAGTGGCTGTCCATTTCATCCATAGTAAGAAAGAAAGTTCTTCTGGAGGTCTCCCAGCCCTTGACAGTCTTTCTTCTTCTTGCCTCTCAGATGTCATCTTGCATGGTTCCCAGCACACACTGCTCCAGCCCTTCTGTTGCCTTAGCTTCTCCTTTTGTTGTGATGTTCTTCCTCCATTTATCTCCATGGCTCATCCCTCGCCTCCTTCATACCTTCTCTGATCCCATTTTGATGAGTAAATGACATGAGAAGTTCCTGGTACATTTTATAGTGTAGGTTCCTGTATAGTTAGGTGCTATATAAATGGTAGCAACTATTATCTTATTTAATTCCCACAATAGCATTATGTGGTAGCTGCATTATCCTTATTTTATAGCAAGGTAAACTGAGGCTCAAAGAGGTTGGTTAGCCTAGAACACTGGCTCTCAAAATATTTTGACTGACCCACAGGAAGGAATACATTTTATATCTCAATCCAGTCCGTGCTTGCTTATGTGAATATGTACATATATATAATAGAAACAAAAGTTTCTCAAGCTCGTAATTAACCTTAAGACATTTGATGCATTCTGATATTTTCTGCTCTGTCCTAGTCATTTATTTTTTAAATGCTAATTTTAAACCACCAAATTGAGTTTAAGAACCCCTTTTGACAGAGACTATCCAAGCCTTTAATTCTGTATCGTTAATTCTGTGTTACAGCTTTTCCCTGTGGCAACATCTGAACTAGCTTTGTCAAAAATTATTAGTGCTAAAAACTCCTCAGTACCCAGCTGAGTAATACATGTAACATTATAAGCTTATGTCTTTTTCTGCTGACCTCTGTAAAATATGATAAGGGTTTCTTTATACAGATAGATGTAAAGAACGTCTGGTAGGAATAAGGAAAATTTGAATGACTAACAGAAGAAAGAGGAAGGGAAATTATCTCTATCAAGTAGTCACAAATAGAATAATTTTTAAAAAATAGAGGAATTAAAATTTACCATTTACTTTGAAAGGATGGTAGGCGGGAATGGATAGAAACTTGGTACAGTCTGACCAAAGCAGTTGTTTGTGGACAGGCTAAAGGCATCATCTCTAGAAGCAAAGTCCTGTGTTGCAGTCAGTTAAATTGAGTCGCATCTTATCAGGGAGTCAGAAGGAATTGTATACTGCATGTGGCCACTCCCAGGTTGACAGCCTAGGAGACTCTGGGCTCTTCTGAAGAGCCTGGTGGCTGGGGTAACCAGCAAAGGCCAAAAGAGAACGTACAAATGTGCTGGGGTCAAGTTTGGTTCATCTACAGTTTGCCCTCTAGAGAAAGATAAAACCGTCACAAATATTCTTAGTTACTTGGGATACATTTAATCTTAGAAATAAATGTCTTAACAATATTTGAAAGAAAATACGGCATTATAAAATGAAAGGGATGAGCCAGGTGCATTGGCTCATGCCTGTAATCCCAGCACTTTGGGAGGCTGAGGCAGGCAGATCACGTGAGGTCAGGAGTTCGGGACCAGTCTAACCAATATGGTGAAACCCCATCTATACTAAAAATACAAAAGTTAGCTGGGCGTTGTGGGGCACGCCTGTAATCCCAGCTACTCAGGAGGCTGAGGCAGGAGAATCACTGGAACCCAGGAGGCAGAGGTTACAGTGAGCCAAGATTGAGCCATTGCACTCCAGCCTGGGCAACAGAGCGATACCCCGTCTAAAAGAAAAAATGAAAAGGATGAGGTGTTAGAGGAACAGAAGCCTAAATAAAGGGTCAGATACACAGAGTCAAGCATTGTCTCCGCATGAAATGGCTTTGTCTGCATCGAGAATATGGTGGGGTTAATCTGCCCTATTTCTTTGATACCAAATAGATGCCTATTAATCCTGCAATTTCTGCAAGTTAATTTGTTGAGTTTTCTTTAGATGAACTCTTTGCAACAACCCTGCAAGAGGAGGGCACAGTTGTCATTCCCATCTCACGTGAGGGACCTGCCACACCGAGAGGCTAACAGAAACACCCAAGGACAATCAGCCAGCCTGCAAGGAGCTGGCATCTCAACCCAAGTGTCTGGCACCAGAGCTTGCACTCTACCACTTGGCCTCCTCTTTTCATGTTTAGATTTGAAGAGCATTTCAGTGAAATCTCAGTTTAAACTCTTTAATTAAATTTAGAACTGGGCTAAAGTTTCCTTTGTGCTATTGTTGAAAATGTGATTTGGTAAGAAAATAGTATTCATGAGATTGCAAGGCAAATAGCATTAAGAAAGAAAACAAACTTCTTTTATTCTTTAACACTTACAATCTTTTTTTTTTTTTTTTTTTTTTTTGAGACAGCGTCCTGCTCTGTCACCCAGGCTGGAGTGCAGTGGCACAGTCTTGGCTCACTACAACCTCCACCTCCCAGGCTTAAGTGATTCTCATGCTTCAGTCTCCTGAGTAGCTGGGATTACAGGCGCATGCCTCCATCCCTGGCTAATTTTTTTATTTTCAGTAGAGATGGGGTTTCACCATGTTGGCCGGGCTTGTCTCGAACTCCTGACCTCAAGTGACCTGCCTGCTTTGGCCTCCCAAAGTGCTGGGATTACAAGTGTGAGCCACCATGCCCGGCATAAACACTTTCGTTAGTAATTAGCAAATAATTTTTCTCTTTCCAAATTCTTATCTATTTTTAAAGGTCTCTTGGCCAAGCTCAGTGGCTCATGCCTATAATCCCAACACTTGGGGAGGCTGAAGCGGGAGGATCTCTTGAGCCCACAAGTTGGAGACCAGCCTGAGCAACATAGTGAGGCCCCATTTCTAAATAAAAAAAATTACCCGGGTGTAATTAGTCCATTTTCATAATGCTAATAAAGACATACCTGAGGCTGGGTAACTAACAAAAAGAGGTTCAGTGAACTCACAGTTCCACGTGACTGGGGAAGCCGTGTAATTATGGCAGAAGGCGAGTGCCGGGCACATCTCACATGGTGGCAGGGAAGAGAGAACTTGTGCAGGGGAACTCCTCTTTATAAAACCATCAGCTCTCCTGAGATTTATGCATTATCTCAAGAACAGCATAAGAAAGACCTGCCCCCATGATTCAGTTGCTTCCCACTGGGTCCCTCCCAGATGTGAGGAACTGTGGGAGCTACAGTTCAAAATGAGATTTTACTGGGGACACAGCCAAAATATATCATTCCATCCTGGCCCCTCCTGAATCTCACATCTTCACATTTCAAAACCAATCATGCATTCCCAACAGTCCCCCAAAGTCTTAACTAATTTCAGCATTAACTCAAAAGTCCACAGACCAAAGTCTCATCTGAGACAAAGCAAGTCCCTTCCACCTATGAGCCTGCAAAGTCAAAAACAAGTTAGTTACTTCCCAGATACAGTGGGGGTACAGGAATTGGGTAACTACAGCCATTCCAAATGGGAGAAATTGGCCAAAACAAAGAGGCTTACAGGCCCCATGCAAGGCCAAAATCCAGCAGGGCAGTCAAATTTCAAAGCCCCAAAATTATCTTGGACTCTGTCTCACATCCAGGTCAAGCTGATGTAAGAGGTGAGCTCCCATGGTCTTGGGCCGCTCCGCCCCTGTGACTTTGCAGGGTATATCCCCCGCTCCTGGCTGCTTTTATGGGCTGGCATTGAGTGTCGATGGGTTTTGCAGGCACACAGTGCCAGCTGTCAGTGTATCTACCATTCTGGGTTCTGGAGGATGGTGGCCCTCTTCTCACAGCTCCACTAGGCAGTGCCCCAGTGGGGACTCTATATGGGGGCTTCAACCCCATATTTCCCTTCTGCATTGCCCTAGCAGAAGTTGCTCCATGAGGGCCCTGTCCCTCATGGAAGGGACACAGCCCTGCAGCAAACTTCTTCCTGGACATACAGGTGTCCACATGGAAACTGTCAATGCTTGGAGCTTGCACCATCTGAAGCCATGGCCCAAGCTGTACCTTGGCCCCTTTCAGCCACGGCTAGAGCACCTGGGACACAGGGCACCAAGTTCCTAGGCTGCACACAGAAAGGGGTCCCTGGGCCTGGCCCACGAAACCATTTTTTCCTCCTAGACCTCTGGGCCTGTGATGGGAGGGGCTGCTGCAAAGGTCTCTGGCATGTCCTAGAAACATTTTCCCCATTGTCTTGGTGATTAACATTCGGCTCCTCGTTACTTAGGCAAATTCCTGCAGCCAGTTTGAATTTCTCCTCAGAAAATGGGATTTTCTTTTCTTTTTACTGTTAGGCGGCAACTTCTCCAAACTTTTATTCTCTACTTCCCTATAAAACTGAATGCCTCTAACAGCACCTGAGTCACCTCTTGAATGCTTTGCTGCTTAGAAATTCCTTCTGCCAGATACCCTGAATAATCTCTCTCAAGTTAAAAGTTCCATAGATCTCTAGGGCAGGGGCAAAATGCCACCAGTCTCTTTGCTAAAACATAACAAGAGTCACCTTAGCTTCAGTTCCCCACAAATTCCTCATCTCCATCTGAGACCACCTCAGCCTGGATTTCATTGTCCATATCATTATCAGCATTATGGTCAAAGCCATTCAGCAAGTCTCTAGGGAGTTCCAGACTTGCCCTCATTTTCCTGTCTTCTTCTGAGTCCTGAACTGCTCCAGCCTCTGCCTGTTACCCAGTTCCAAAGTTGCTTCCACATTTTTGGGTATCTTTTCAGCAGTGCCCCAGTCTATTGGTATCAATTTACTGTATTAGTACATTTTCACACTTCTAATGAAGACATACCCAAGACTGGGTAACTTACAAGAAAAAGAGGTTCAGTGGACTCACAGTTCCACGTGGTTGGGGAGGCCTTATAATGATGGTGGAAGGCAAGGAGGAGCAAGTCACATCTCACATGGCAGCAGGGAAGAGAGAACTTGTGCTATCATGAGAAGAGCACGAGAAAGAGAAAAGAAAGAAACCATGATTCAGTTACCTCCCACTGGGTCCCTCCCACGACATGTGGGAATTGTGGGAGTTACAATTCAAAAGGAGATTTGGGTGGGGACACCACCAAACCGTATCACCTGGCGAGGTGGCATATGCTTATGGTCCCAGCTACTCAGGAGGCTGAGTGGGAGGATTGCTTGAGCCCAGGAGGTTGAGGCTGCAGTGAGCCATCATGGTGCCACTGCACTCCAGCCTGGGTGACAGAGAGATACCCTATCTCAAAATAAAAAATAAGGGTCTCACAAGACCTGCTTTGCAACCAATTGTTAACAGTTCACATTATGTTTAAGTATATGTAGTAATAAAGCTGATTTTCTGTCAAAATTATAGACTTCAGGGGTTTTGATAATTCATACTTGTTTTCTGAATTGATAAGGAATAGTGCCAAGCATCAAATGGATAAGGACCCTAAATAATAAACCTTTATTTTCAAATATTGCTTCCATATCCACCTGCCAAGTTCTGGCAGCCTTTTTGATGGTATACAAATGCCTATGTTATAGTTCCTGCAATTCTTCTGTTTTAATGAGGACCTACTTAAACCACGAGACTTATTTTACATTTTCACCATTATTTAAATAAGATTGTTCATTCATAAAGCTTCTGTCAGCCTACGGTCTGCTAAATATTGGTACCTTTGCAAAGACAGCTGATGTTCCCTGCTCTTGAGGAGCCCTTCATTCCAAGGGAACTTTTCACTGCAATATCTGTAGTAATTTTACATTTTGTCTTTTAGATAAACTCAAGCCATGGAGGGATTACTGCATTACATCAACCCCGCACACGCCATTTCTCTCCTAAGTGCCCTGAATGAGGAGCGTCTCAAAGGACAGCTGTGCGATGTGCTGCTGATTGTTGGAGACCAAAAGTTCCGAGCTCATAAAAACGTCTTGGCTGCCAGCAGCGAATACTTTCAGAGTTTATTCACAAATAAGGAAAATGAGTCACAAGCTGTATTTCAGCTTGACTTCTGTGAGCCAGATGCTTTTGATAATGTTTTAAACTACATTTATTCTTCCTCTCTATTTGTTGAGAAGAGCAGCCTTGCTGCTGTGCAAGAACTTGGCTATAGTCTTGGGATTTCCTTTCTGACAAACATCGTTTCTAAAACACCTCAAGCCCCCTTTCCAGCGTGTCCTAATAGAAAAAAAGTGTTTGTAGAAGATGATGAAAACAGTTCTCAAAAGAGAAGTGTCATTGTTTGTCAAAGTAGAAACGAAGCACAAGGAAAAACTGTTAGTCAAAATCAACCTGATGTAAGCCATACTTCCCGGCCCTCTCCTAGCATTGCAGTCAAGGCTAATACCAATAAGCCACATATCCCAAAACCAATTGAACCGCCTCATAGTTTGTCATTAACTGAAAAGAGTTGGCCGAAAGATAGTTCTGTGGGATATGCAAAGTCTCTTGAGCATTCTGGATCTTTGGATGATCCTAATAGAATCAGTTTGGTGAAAAGAAATGCAGTATTGCCTTCAAAGCCTCTGCAAGACAGAGAAGCTATGGATGATAAACCAGGTGTGAGTGGTCAGCTTCCAAAAGGAAAAGCTCTAGAGCTGGCTTTGAAGAGACCACGGCCACCTGTTTTGTCTCTTTGTAGCTCATCAGAGACTCCCTATGTATTAAAAGAAACTAACAAAGGAAATGGTCAAGGTGAAGATAGAAACTTGTTGTATTATTCAAAGTTAGGCTTAGTGATCCCATCCAGTGGATCTGGTTCTGGAAACCAAAGCATTGACAGGAGTGGCCCACTTGTTAAGAGTCTCCTCAGACGGTCTTTGTCGATGGATAGCCAGGTTCCTGTCTATTCACCTTCCATAGATTTGAAATCTTCCCAGGGATCATCTTCGGTGTCCAGTGATGCACCAGGGAATGTGTTGTGTGCTTTATCTCAAAAGTCATCTTTAAAAGATTGTAGTGAAAAAACAGCCCTAGATGACAGGCCTCAAGTGCTACAACCGCATCGCCTCAGGTCCTTTAGTGCTTCTCAGTCAACAGACAGAGAGGGAGCCTCCCCTGTGACTGAGGTGCGCATAAAGACCGAGCCCAGCAGCCCGCTGTCGGACCCCTCGGACATCATCCGCGTCACTGTGGGAGATGCGGCAGCAACAGCAGCTGCCTCATCTTCATCGGTCACAAGAGACCTGTCTCTGAAAACAGAAGATGACCAAAAAGACATGAGCAGACTCCCAGCAAAAAGGAGGTTCCAAGCGGACCGAAGGTTGCCGTTTAAGA